GAGAAAGTAAAATTGAGCATAACTATATTACACCCAATCTTGTCATACATACCCCTTTTTAGTGGTTCCGACTTATGTGCAGTATGTTGTCATATAGGTCATTGTAGTAACTCCGGCTAGAATAACTTTGAGCTATGAATTCAGCCGTACAGACTACCTCAAGGGTTCCGGCTAACATATCATATTTCTACAAAATCATTCTTACCTAGATTGTTTACTTTGTTATATTTTGGCATGGCTTACATATGAATGTGAAGCATGAATTGAATTGATATGATTTCATATATATATATATATATATATATTTGTATATACTTATATTTTGATTATGGGAAAATTATACATGTTTTACAGCGAGGAGTTAGTATATTGATAAATGAAATGATTTTGTAAAACATTTGTTTTTGCCCACCCACGTTTTTTGTTTTGCGCCCCTCCAGGTTTTAAGTAAGCTTGTTGTCGGTGGCTAGGGATCGTCGGCAGTTCTGACCTATTTGAATAATAGTAGGACATTCCTAATATTATGTAACTAGTACTTGTCCTACTGGACTGCACCTAAACTTTATGCTCCATTATGAGTGTTCATTGTTGTAACTAACTCCTATCACTTTCGTTTAATAGTGCACTCTAGTAATCTGGTCTTTAATTATTCGTATAATTGCTATCTTTATCGCTTCTGCACTATGCACATGGCTACGTCACCCTCACGTGACGGCCAGCATGCCTTGATCTCGGTCGGGGTGTGTCAGTTTAGTATCAGAGCCTAGGTTTAGCAATCCTGTATAATTCTTGAATGTTCTAATCCTTGTGATGTCTTATGTCAGAACAATGCCGCCTTGTAGAGAGCCCCGTCAACCAGCTGAATCTAGTTTCCCTGATATTGCTCAATTATGGGAAGCTATAGTTTCTGCCATTCAGACAGCATTCCGTACTCCCTAGAGGACACCTCTTGAGACAGTTCATAATCTGAAGTTGACTCACTTCATGGGTAATGAAGGTCATGAGGGGGCAGAAAAATGGCTGAATCATATGGAGAAGACCCTTCAGATGATGCAGAGTCAAGGGAATCTTCCTCCTGATAGGTGGGTCGAGATGACTACCTAGTTTTTAGGAGAACAACCTGCATCCTGTGGAGACAGGAGTCTTACGAGATGACCCCAAAGGAGATTGTGGACTGATGAGTGTTTAAGGAGCGGTTTCGGAAAAGGTTCATTCCTCATGTGTATATCGATCTTAAGAAACAGGAGTTTACTCATCTGAGGCAAGGAAAAATGTCCGCTAATGAGTATTATAGGATGTTTACTGATTTATCGAGATATGATCCAGAGGTTGCTGCTAATCCGGTAGAGATGCTTCGCCGTTTCAGTTTGGGTACTAAGAAGAAATGGCGTTCCATAATGACATCGACTCATTGTGCCTCTTACCAGGAGTTCAATAAGATTCTACTGAGGATTGAGGCCTCAGAGAACATGCCTAGTGAAAGTGAGGATGAAGAAGGAAAGAATGGAGGTCAAAGATGAGATGACAAAGGAAAAGGGCAAGCATTTCAAGGACAGAGAGAACCGACATAACTTTTCATGTCACTTTCCACATACGGCGCCAAATGTTGATGCACAAAATCGGAGGTCTTGGAACAACGTAAATCCGACCGTGAATCTACATGAAATGTAAATAACACAAGATGTATCGTGGTTCACCCCAAAGTTTGGGCTACGTCCACACTGATTGTATTTCTCTGAGAATATTTATGAGGGAGAGAGTGTGAGAGCTTTGCTCTAGATAGGAGAGGCTTAGGGTTTGTGAGGGTGAAGAGGCTCTTTTATAAAATAAGGGCTCCTCCCCTTTTTACATATTTGCCCCTTCCTTTATTACATAATTACATTTGAGTCCTTCGAGTATTTATACGAGGTCTAAATACGGGGGCCCTAAGTATGGTATAAACAAATGTGAAAAAAGTTTTCATCAATTGAAGTACTATCTCACTCATGCACCTGTTCTAGCACTTCTAGATGATAGTGGTAACTATGAAGTTTATAGTGATGCTTCTCTGAACGGTTTGGGTTGTGTATTAATGCAACATGGTAGGGTAATCGCTTATGCTTCGAGACAGTTGAAACCTCATGAGAAGAATTACCTTACACATGAATTTGAGCTAGTGGCTATCATCTTTGCTTTGAAGATTTGGAGACATTATCTTTATGGTGAGAAATGTAAGATCTTCACAGATCATAAGAGTCTCCAGTATCTGTTTACTCAGAGAGATCTTAATCTTCGTCAGCGGAGGTGGATTGAATTACTTAGTGACTATGATTGCACGATTGAGTATCATCTTAGTCGTGCAAATGCAGTGGCGGATGCATTAAGTGGAAAGACTCCAGCCAAACTTAATGCCATTTATGATAGTCATGTTCCTCTTCTAGCATATTTGAGGTCCACTGAAGTGGAGCTAGGAGTGGAAGATCGAGGAGAATCCTTGCTTGCTAATTTCCAGGTTAAGCCAGTTTTAATTGATCATGTGCTGGAGACTCAAATGATTGATGAGGAGACTCAGGAAATAATTCAAGCAAGAAGCCAAGGCAAAAAGAAAGATTTTGAGATTCGAGAAACTGATGGCATGCTTATGCAGGAAAGTAGGATGTATGTGCCGAATAATGCAGAATTAAAGAAAGAAATTTTGGATGAAGCACATATTTCGGCATATGCGATGCATCCAGGAGGCACTAAGATGTATCATACCATTAGACCATTTTATTATTGGCCAGGTATGAAAAGAGAAATTGTCGAATATGTGAGTAGGTGTGTCATTTGCCAACAGGTTAAAGCTGAAAGAAATAAGGCGTTTGGGTTGATGTAACCACTTCCCGTTCCATAGTAGAAATGGGAAAATATTACTATGGATTTTGTGTACAAGCTCCCTCGTACCCAGAATGGTTATGACGGCATTTGGGTGGTAGTTGATTGGCTTACGAAGTCAGCGCATTTTATTCCAGTGAGGGAGAAGTATTCGTTAAGCCGATTAGCTAAGTTATTTATATAACAGATTATGAGGTATCATGGTGTGCCAGTTAATATTATCTCGGATTGGGATCCCAGATTTACTTCCAAGTTCTGGATAGCATTCCAGGGAGCTCTTGATACGAGATTGCTTTATAGTACGGCATATCACCTTCAAACAGATGGACAATCTGAGAATACCATTCAGACATTAGAGGATATGTTGAGATCTTCTGTGCTGCAGTTTGGAGATAGTTGGCATGATTATTTGGATTTGATGGAGTTCGCCTATAACAATAGTTATCATTCGAGCATTGGTATGTCACCATTTGAGGCACTTTATGGGAAATCTTGCCGTACGCCTCTATGTTGGTCAGAGGTTGGCGAAAAAGTTTTAGTAGGCCCTGAGATTGTGGATGTGACTACTCAAAATGTTCAAGTAATTAAGTCTAACCTGAAAGCGGCCCAAGATCGACAAAAGAGCTTAGCAGACAAACATGCCACTGATCGGAAGTATGATGTAGGTGATTGGGTATTCCTGAAGTTATCATCTTGGAAAGGTGTTGTACGATTTGGAAAGAAAGGAAAGTTGAGTCCTAGGTACATTGGGCCATATATGATCACCGAGCGAGTCGGTGAGGTTGCTTACAGGCTTGAGTTGTCTCCAGAGTTGTCAAAGGTGCACGATGTATTTAATGTTTTGATGCTTCGACATTATGTATTAGATCCTTCACATGTGATTCCTCCTCAACCTTTGGAAATCAATTCGGACTTGACTTATGATGAGGAACCAGTGACTATGTTGGATTGGAAAGATAAAGAACTGAGGAACAAGATAGTTCGTTTGGTAAAAGTGTTATGGAGAAATCATTCACTGGAAGAAACTACTTGGGAGACAGATGATCAGATGAGAGAGATGTACCCATGCTTGTTTTATGATTATTAGTGGATGTATTTGTTATGTATAATTTCGAGGACGAAATTTTATAAGGTGGGGAGATTGTCACAGCCCGTCTCGAGGATTAATTATCGTGATTGTGAAAAGACGGATTTACCCTTGAGCGTTGGATGTGTGTTGTGTTTCGGATTAAGAAATTGGGTCAATTGGTTCTATTCCTAACTAATTGGACCCAATTAGAACTAAAAGATTAAAGATTTGTGATTGGTGTGCATGTTTGGACCACACACATCCATACCCTTTTCTCTCTTATTCCTGTGCCCTCTCTCTCATCTCTCGGACTCTCTCGCTTTCCATCACGTACGGACAAGCAACAAAGCTCACAATCATGCACGGATCGACGTTCTAAAGGTGAGACATGAATAACAGTAGGACATTCCTGGTACTGTGTAACTTGTACTTGTCCTACTGGACTGCACCTAGACTTTATGCTCTGATTAGGAGTGTTCATTGTTGTAACTAACTCCTATCACTTTCGTTTAGTAGTGCACTCTAGTAATCTAGTCTTTAATTATTCGTATAGTTGCTATCTTTATCGCTTCCGCACTGTGCACATGGCTACGTTACCCTCACGTGACGGCCAGCATGCCTTGATCTCGGTCGGGGTGTGTCAGGGCCGTTATACATGTTTACCATCTTTTTAATTTTGAATTTGGTTTAATAAAACAGTCCATCTTATTAAGTATATCTAGTTTTTGTTATAATAAATTTAATTAAATTCTGAAAAATTATAAATCCGCCTAGGTCTCTCCTTGGCGCTAGACCCCAACTGGCCGCTCGCCTAGCGACTAGCATCTTTTAGTACCATGCGCAAACCAAATTGATGGACCAAGCTAATCCAAAACCGAGGGATTTTTTTCTTTCTTAATATTAACTTGTTTTTTGAATTTATGCAATGAATTTGTTTCCTTCTTCTCCAAACTGATGGACCGAACCTTAACTGGACCAAACAAAATAATAATGTTGAATTCCCCTCCCACACGTAACATGAGTATCAATTATGTCCACAACCGTTACAGAAACTTGGGTCATGGAACTTCATCACCAAAACTAGAAGCACAATTGCATGATTAACAAAAATCTCATTGTTTAATCCAAAATATTAATCAAAATATCTTATTATTCAGCTATGTACATAATCAAAATATCTAACAAAATCGAAATTCCCAAAATCAAAATTACCAAGACTAGTCGACAAGGCGGCCCCACCGATCAGTGACTGAGGGCCTTCTTCAGTTCCTCCGCCACATCGCCCTCCGGCGACTTATTCTTCCCGTTTGATCGCCGATCCACTTTCCCGCTCGAATTCCTACTTCCCCCATTTATCTCACTCTCAGGAAACGCATTCGAAATCGAAATCGACTTCGCGGCGCCGGCGATTTCGTGGCGCAGATCCTCCACGGATTTTCTCAGCAACCCGTTCTCCGTCCGCAGAGCCTCCAGCTGATGCTTCACCCTAAAACAAGCCTCCGCAACCTCAGCATTTCCCGGAAATGTCAACGCATTATCCGCCGCCGCCTTTGTGGTTTTGGCCTTCGAATCGCCACCGTCCACGTGTTCGATCCCGATCTTGTTCATCACCAGGAACGGGATTTTCTGAAACGCAATCCCCGCAGTCGGATTCACCCCAGCACTCTTTATCTCCGTCGGAACCTTAACCCCCCACCTCAAGTTCACCACGGCCCGGTTCCTCACCGGCATCGACGTCCTCGCCGCCACCTCCATCCCGGTGAACAAACGGGCAAGAACTCCAGCCGCCAGACTTGCCGATGACAAAACTTTTCTCTTCCCCGAAAACTCCGCCTCCACTACCGGCGTCTCCGCCGCAACGGCGTCCTTCTCAGAACCCACGATCTTCTCGAAGACCGAGGACTGCGTCTTCTTGATCGAGAAATCGCCGAACTGGGGCTTAAAGTGGAGCATGAAGCTAGGGCTTCTCCCGCGGTCAAGGAGATTGAACTCGGCGCTCATCAGCATGGAGCTCGAAATCGGCGATCCGAAGGATCCCGTCCCGGTCTTGACGACGAGGGAGAAGGGGTTCCACGCGTCGTTGGGACGATACGCGATCTTGATGGACGGCCCGGATTCGAAGAAGGTGGCGAGGTTGAGAGTGAGCTCCTTGGACTCACCGGCGACGATTCCGGACTGGAAGGGCAGGCCCAGGATGCTGAGGGGCACCTTGGCCCTCAGCAACGGCTTCTGGTCCTCCCGGAATTTGACCGACGCTTTCATTTTTCTGTCGTTGCAGAAAAACCCTAATTCTGAACTTTGGGGGAAAAAGGGGGCAAAAATTTATAGCCCCTTTTGCGTTGGATTTGACAGTGAATTGAGTTTTTGGCTGGATTTGGAGTTTCAAGTGGGAGTTGCCATCTGGGGGGATGCATTAGGATTAGCCCTCGAGTTTCAATGATTTACGAAACTGGGGACTCTCTGGATTTTGTTGTCGGAGTGGTGTAATATTTACAAATGCTAGGGGTATATATAGGCTTGTTGCCGGAGCAAGAGATTGGTTTGGGGACACGTGGACGGAGTTTAAATTTTACAAAAAAATTCGGGAGGCCCTGAAATTTAAATTTTGGAATTTAAAAATATTGGAAATAATTGAGCTGAGTTGGCAGTGGTAATGTTTATGTTTTTTTTTTTTGGTAAACAGGTAGTAGTAACCATGGAAGAAAATGCTGATAATATCGGCGAAATATCGCCGATATTATCGGTTTTTCGGGAGGGCGATATTATAAGTGGTATCCGAATGGTTTTCGGCCAAATATCGCGATATTCTCGATAATATCGATAATATCGCGATATTTTGGAAATATCGGCGAAATATCCATGGGTTGGTGGAATCGGAATCCGAGGCGACGTCGGAGAAGAACGCCAGAGACGGTGGGGCGATTCCCGGGCCGGTTTCGTCCCAAAAACCTTGCAAAAACACGAATTTTAACATCAATTTCACATATATACTTCAAATTTCACGCATGCATAAACGATTCAAGGCAGGGTGAAGTCGGTTTAGGGTTTAGGGTTTCAATGGAATCTCACCTGACGAAGACGAAGACGAACGATCCTTGCTCAGCGGCGCACCGCCACAGACGACTGAGACAACTCTGACTTCGCCAGAGCCACGATCAACGGCGAAGGGAGAAGAGAGATCGAGAGATCTCTGTGTGTGTGTGTGTGTTTGGGACTTGGGAGAAGAGAGATCGGAGATCTCTCTTTGTATGTGGGTGTTTGGGAGAAGAGAGATCGGAGAATGGAGAAGAGAGATCGAGAGATCTCTGTGTGCGTGTGTGTGTTTGGGAGAAGAGAGATCGGAGATCTCTGTGAGTCCGATCTCTGTGTGTGCGTGTGTTGGATCCGATGTCAACCTGTGGAGCTCTCTGTGTGAGTGTGTGTGTGGGAGAAGAGAAGGGAGAAGAGAGATCGAGAAGGATGATCGAGAGAGAGAGAGACTGAGGAGCTCTCTCTGTGTGAGTGTGTGTGTGGAAGAAGAGAAGGGAGAAAGAGAGAACGAGAAGGATCGAGAGAGAGAGAGACTGAGGTTGTCTGCGGTGCGTGCGTTGTGTTGTGTGTGCGTGCGATGTGTCATTTGTGTGTGTGTGTGTGTGTGTGTGTGTGTGGGTTCCTCCTGTCAGGAGGATACAACTCACTCAATATTCCCGACAAGTTTTACAATTATTTGGACAATTTCAATGCAGCTTTTTTACAATTATAATTTGTATTCTTTTCAGACCATGAATGGTGGTCATTTGTGTGTGTGTGTGTGGGTTCGTCCTGTCAGGAGGACACATGACTCACTCCATATTCTCGACAAGTTTTACAATTATTTGGACAATTTCATGTAGCTTTTACCATTATAATTTGTAGTCTTTTCAAACCATGGACGGTGGTTTCATTCAAAACCGTGTGCCAATATTGTTTTAAAAGGTGGAGTATCAGAGGTATTGTGTTATTCTTTCAAAGTTGTCATTGTGAAAAAATTTCAAGAGGTGGAGTATCAGAGGAGCCTTTTCGATTATTTTATTTCCCTTACCCCTTTCAAAGTCATTCCAGATCCAGAGCTTAAACAAAAAGGGTTCCATATTTAAAGTAAGTTTACAAACTTATATTTATATTCTTATAATTTATACAACAACAAAAAAATTTGTGTGAACTCGTATGTTAATTTTGCAGGGTAATTAAGTAATTAAGTAATGTTAATACTTGCATGTTAGTTTATACAATTGCATGTTAATTTTTTTAAGTAATTAAGTAATGTTAAAAAATTTGTGTGAACTCGTATGTTAATTTATACAATTGCATGTTAATTTTTTTAAGTAATTAAGTAATGTTAATACTTGCATGTTAGTTTTTGTAAGTAATTAAGTATTGTTAACAATTACATGTTAATTTTTTTTAAGTAATTAAGTAATGTTGTATAATTATTCCCTAGGATAATTTTAATATGTTTAATGTTATTTATTATTTTATTTCCCTTACCATTTTCAAAGCCATTCCAGATCCATTCCAAAGCTTGAACACAAAGGGTTCCATATTTAAGATAAGTTTACAAACTTATATTTATATTATTGTAATTTATACAACAACAAATAAATTTGTGTGGACTCGTATGTTAATTTTTTTAAGTAATTAATACTTGCATGTTAATTTTTGTAAATAGTTAAGTAATGTTAACAATTACTTGTTAATTTTTGTAAGTAATTAAGTAATGTTGTATAATTATTCCCTAGGATAATTTTAATATGTTTAATGTTATTTATTATTTTATTAATATTAGGTTTTATTATCAAATAGGATTATTATTCATTAATATTAGGTTTTTTTATTATCAAATTGGATTATTATTCATTAAATTAGATTATTATAAAATTGGATTATTATTCATTAAATTGGATTATTCATTAAATTGGCTTATTATCAAATTGGACTATTCATTAAAGCCCACTCAATGTAGTCTCCAAACTTGACCTTAGGCCCAAATCTCAAACATAACCACACTTGGGTTGGGTTGGGTTGAACCAAAAGGTCCAAAACTTAGGAAAAAAAAAAACGAATTATTCATTTTTATTCATTAATATTAGGTTTTTTTTATTATCAAATGAGTAAATTGTACAAATGGTCCCTCAACTTTAATCAAATTGGAGCAATGGTCCCTCAACTAAAAATCCATTACCTTTGGTCCCTCAACTTATCAAAACGTGCAGCTATGGTCCCTCAACTAAAAATCCATTACCATTGGTCCCTGAACTTTAATTCAAGTGGAGAAATGGTCATTTAACTTTAACTTAATTGTAACAATGGTCCTTCCAATATAACTCGTTTTGACAAATTTTTTGACATAGTTGACGAAAAGAACCATAATTATACACTTTGATGAGTTAAGGGACCCTAATTATATAAATGGTCATTCCAACATAGCTTATTTTGACAAAATTTTGACAAAATTGATGAAAAGGACTATAACTACACATTTTGATAAGTTGAGGGACCAATGGTAATGGATTTTTAGTTGAGGGACCATTGCTCCAATTTGATTAAAGTTGAGGGACCATTTGTACAATTTACTCTTATCAAATTGGATTATTGATTAATATTAGGTTTTTTTATTATCAAATTGGATTATTCATTAAATTGGATTATTATTAAAGTGGATTATTATTAAATTGGATTATTATCAAAAAGGAATATTATTCATCACTATGTTTTATATTAGGATTATTTTCATGAAACATAATTATCATCATTTATAGTAGGATTATTTATATTAGGATTATTATCAAAAAGGAATATTATTCATCATTTATATTAGGATTATTTTTTTATCAAATTGGATTATTATTCATTAATATTAGGTTTTATTATTCCATATTATTTTTTAATTACTTAAATTTTTACAATCATTTTCTTTACTTCATATTGTATTCTTCTGTAGAATAACTTTATTATTTAGGTTCTCTTAAAAAACTTCATTATTTAATTCTTTTGTCTAATTTTCATGAAAAATAAATGTAGGTACGTTTAAGATGTCTTAAGATGTCTAGTGGAGCTAGTAAACGTGATCCAGCTTGGGAACATGGCGACCCAATAGACGGAAACAAACATGGCACAATTTGCAAATATTGTGGTCGGGTAATGAAGAGTGGTGGAGTGACACGACTTAAGTACCATCTTAGTGGATTAGATCCAGCAAAAAATGTCCAACGATGCGATAATGTCCCCCCAGAAGTGAAGGCATTCATCAGCACATTATTAAAAAATAAAAAACAGCAGAAGGAAAAGATGACACAAGGAATGGAAAATATTCGAGCTGGGCTACGGGGAGAAGTCTATGGCCAAGCGGTTGACAGTGATGATGATGACGATGAGGACGAATGTGATGATGACATGGGACCTGAAGAACGACGCAGTTTGAAACAAGCATTACGTGCCTCCAAACAGTCAGCATGGGAAAGAGAACACCTTCATAAAATTCCTAATAGGGGACAAGGTTCCGGGACAAGTGGTGGTGCACAAATGAGACGGGGAGGCAGTCTTAGAGAATCACAACCAACACCACCAATAGCCCAAAGTTTATATAAGTCATCCAACGCACGTCAAAAGAGTGTTTGGAGTTATTTCAAGGGAGGTAATGTGAAGGAGGGAATGGGGCGTCTAATTAGCAAGTTCTTTATCTATGAAAATGTCCCTGTTGCGAAGGCATTATCACATCATTTCAAAAATATGGTTGTGGGATGTCAACAGGCCGGTGTTGGAGTACAACCTCCCACTCCCTATGAGATAAGAAACAAATATTTGGATATGGAGTATAAAGACATTGGCGAGTATGTTAACAAGTTGAGGTCAAAGTGGGAAACTAATGGTTGCACAATCATGTGTGACGGATGGACCGGCCCGACCAGATTATCTATCATCAACTTCATGGTATACTCCACGGGAAAGACAATTTTTTTTAAGTCTGTTGATGCTTCAGACCATATAAAGAATTACAAGTATATTTACAAATTATTGAGGGATGTAATCATGGAGGTGGGAGAGCATAATGTTGTCCAAGTCGTGACCGACAACGGTTCTGCATTTGTCAAAGCTGGAAAAAAGTTAATGAAGCATCATAATGTGTTTTGGACATCATGTGCAGCACATTGTATTGATCTTATGTTTGAGGCAATGGGGAAGAGAGATAATGTTGCTACTGTGGTCAAAAGAGCTAGAACGATCACAAATTATATTTACAATCACGGTTGGTTGTTGGTAAAGATGCGTGAATTTTGCAGAGGAGAAATTATTCGTCCAGCTACCACTCGATTCGCCACCAACTATATTGCATTAAACAACCTACTCAAGAAGAAAGCAGGGTTGAAGCAACTATTCACTAGTGACGATTGGGCCAACCACAATTTCAGCCGCTCAAATAC